TCGAACTACTATATTCTTCTCTCTCTCTCTCTCTCTCTCTCTTCTCTCTCTCTCTCTCTATCTCTTTCTCTCTCTCTCCTCTCTACGAAGATTCCTCGGTTTCCTGGTTCGAACAAAAAAAGAAAAAGAAAAAAGAATCGTCGTCGATTTCACTGCTGTCGAATCGTGTGTGCGCTCGATCCAAAGGACAAAGTATATGTATATACACACACAGACACACACACACACACATACATATATATATATGTATATCGCCCACGTCAGGTGATTAATCGAGTATTGTTATTGCGCAACTGTTGTTCGAGCGCCGAGGACGAGGATGATGATCCCGATGTGAAGGCACAAAGGGAGAAAGAGAGGCGGCAGGCGAACAATGCTAGGGAAAGGTAAGAGAAAAATCGACAAAAGTGTGCAGTGAACTCATGGCGAATCTCCGCTGCTCTTGCTTGCCGTTGCTCGCGTCGAGCGACTTTTCGAGAAGAGTTTGGCCCGTATTCTATGTATATGTGACGCAAAGAAGCGATCCATTCGCGGATTTCGATTTCGTCTTTTCTCTCTCTCTCTCTTTCTTTGCGAACGGTCTCCTCTCGTGCGAAACTTTCCTCTCGATCGAGAGAGGAATATTTTGTTTTTTTTTTTTTTGGCGTCTTGAAACATTGGCAACACCGCAACCGGTGTTGAAGAAATTTTGCGCGCGGGGAAACCGTTTGCGAAAAGAAAAAGTTGCATAACAAGAAAGTGTCGTTTGTTCCGATCGCGAGTCGAGGCTTGGAGCGTTGATCAAAGTTTTTCAATCTGCCTCCCCCCCCCTCTCTTTAGGATACGTATCAGAGACATCAACGAGGCGTTGAAGGAGCTTGGCAGAATGTGCATGACGCATTTAAAAACGGACAAACCTCAGACGAAGCTGGGTATCCTAAATATGGCTGTCGAAGTGATCATGACGTTGGAGCAACAAGTCAGAGGTATGCGAATAAGATGGATCTCTTGATCCAATCCAATTTTTTATCGACCAATTTTTGAGCCGAATTATTAGAGCTGGGAATTTTCTTTTTTTTCTCTCTCTCCCGTTTACAGAACGAAACCTCAACCCAAAGGCAGCGTGTTTGAAGAGAAGGGAGGAGGAGAAGGCAGAGGATGGACCTAAACTACCCGGGCATCTGGCGGCGCACATAGCTCATCCTCATCCCCACCCCCACGCGCATTCTCAGCCCCCTTTCTCCGCGATGCCTGTAAATATTCTTTCTTCGGATTAAAACACGAGACGGTAACACCGTCGAGGGGGGGAAGAGGGGTGTGCGTGCAAAGACACGTTTCTAATATTATATAACATATATATTATCTAATATATATATATATATTCAGGTGTTGTTGTATTGGTGTGTTGCAGGGCCCACCACCTCCGCTTCAACACAATCCATCGCAGCCGCAGTAGCAGCGGCTCAGTGGCGGTATGATCCTGTGCTAAGGGGTAGATACGGCTTAAACTTGTCGTAGGATTTTTTTCAAAAAGTTTTCCAGGACTCGAACATACAGACAAGATCTTTTCCCCGATCTTTTGCCCGAAATTGTACGAAAGCCAATTGTACCCTTTCACGATCGATAAATATAAATAAATATCTTTCTTTCTTTCTTTCTTTCTTTCTATTATTATTATTATTAAAAACGAGCATTTTTACATTTTTCGAGCGCATCGTTTCGTTTCGAGATTATTCGTCAAAAAAAAAAAAGAAAAAAAAGAAAAAAAGTATTTTTCCATATTCGATATTATTATTGGTAATATAGAAAAAAAAAAAATCTTTTCCACTAATTTCGATCTTGAAAGGGTTATTACGTATATATTTATATACATATATATCGAGATTCCACTGTTGGAACGTAATTCCTGTCGAATTCCGCTCTACGGAGGAAACCGTTGGTTGATCACCAAGAGATGGATGGTAGAGCGAGCGTCGTCGGAACGCAAAGAGAGCGGAAAATTGCGCGAACGAAACGCGATTAGCAAGGGGGATGATTAGGAACTCGGCAATAATGAATAAAATTCGTATAGTTTTCCTTAACACCTTCGCATCCACCTTCCTCGCGAAGAGGCGGCGCGAAGATCGAGGAGACGATGATGAGAACGTCGGAGGAGGAGAAGAAACGTTTCTGTATGTTTATGAAAGAGGAAAAAGAGGAGGAGCGTTTATAGAAGGGAAAGAAGAGAGAACGATCGCTGTGTGCTTTTAAGAGGCATCTACCCCCCTTCCACTCCCCGAAGGCGGCTTGAAATTATTTTTATAAATAGCGAGAAAACAAAGGAGTATGGTTCCTCTCTTTCGAGATGTAAGAAAAAAAAAAAAAAAAAAACTAACTTCGCCCGTGTAGCAGACGAGAGATCGAGAGATTTTATCGAGACGATCGATCCCTACCGCTACCATCCCCCCACCTCCCTCCCTCGCCCCCCACCCTCCTCCTTCCCACCGCCACCCTCCGTTCTCTTGTTGAAGTTGCCCAGTTTTTCTTGCGTATGCAAAATCTGTGTCGAGTTATCGTTGCGATATGTTGCGTGTAGGGCGGATAGCTCCAGAAGGTGTGCTTCCGTTGACACGACGGGGAAAAAAAAAAGGAAGGAAAGGAAAGAGAAGAAAAGGCGACGACGAGAGAAAATATGACAATGACAATGACCGAGGATGATCGCAACGAACGGCGCGCTTCGCGAGCTCTCATCGTCGTTGCTCATCGTCGTCGGTTCGATTCGACGTCTTTTTATTATTTTTTTTTTTTTTTTTTTTTTCATTCTCTTTTCTCTCTCCCCCTCCTCGGACTATTAGCATTTTTTTTTTTCTTTTTCTTTTTCCTCTCTTATAGATATGATCCTACAGTCGTCGTGTAAATATGCAAAAAAACCACAGACACAAAAAAAAAGAGGAACCGCGAGTTCTTTTGACGATGGTCCTCGGTGATTGGTGATAAAAAAAAAAAAAAAAAAAAAGAAAAAAAATTAACTGTGTATATATATAGAAGAGGCGACTGTTTTCGCGAGCGTTTCAGTGTGAATCGGGGTCCCGTGAAAGTTCGTTCTGGCAAATTTTCTGTACTTACGCGTGCGAACGAGATTGATCGAACGAGAAAGCATAACGAGATTGACGAGAGAAAGAAAAGAAGGGAAAGAGAGAGAGAGTGCGTGTGCGTGCGTGCGTGTGTGTGCGTGTGCGCATGAGAGAGAGAAAAGAGAGAGGAGGAAAAATTCGCGTTGGATTCGCGGTGCAAGCACGCGGTGGAATCGTTTCTGTGTTAGCGTTTCGGACCATGTGCGAAGGAGGTATAATAAGTGCAAGGTTTTTTTTTTTTTTTTTTTTAGTCAAGAATACGAGAATATATGTGTAGATAAATGAAGATAGGGAAAGGAGATGAAAGCGAAAGAGAAGAGAAAAAGAAAAAAAAGATATATCGGGTCATCTAACAATCGAACACGGAAAAAGTTCAAACATATCTCTCGCATAATTGTATATATACAGCAGTAATGTACGCCTAATCAATTACCTTATTATTACGATTATTATTTTTATTATTATTACTATTATTTTATTATTATTTTTATTATTATTATTATTATTATTATTATTATTATTATTATTATTATCGTCATCAATATGGCGGTGCTTATAATTATTATTATTATTATTATTATTATTATTATTATTATTGTCACGATAATGATTTATTATTATTATTATTAATTATTAATTATTAATTATTATCGATTGATGATCGCCGAGGAGATCCTTCGTGAGAGTAAAAGGGGACATTTTTGTTTTTGAACAAAAATATAGCTCAACTCAATGTGTACCCAGTTGCCATGTATTTTAATTTATTTAGATTCTTAAATAAATTTTATTGAATAAAAAAAAAAGAAAAGAAAAAAAAGGAAAAAAAATAATGAAGAAAAGAACAACAAGAAGCAAGAAATAAAGGAACCGACGATAAGACTTTTTTTCGTAAGTGTCCGTGTTTTGTTCCGCCTCTCATTCTGTTCTTCGCTCTCTCTCTCTCTC